AGATTTCCGGACACTGTAGTAAACCATATAAACTATGATATATAATATCTGAAAACTATACACCCAGTGGAATAAAAGGAAACAGGAAGTTGCTGCTAGTCTGAATATACTAAAGCTCACCTAGAAAGCAGTCTGCTGATTGATTAGGAATAAAATAGCACTGGAAAAAAAAATGACCATAATAGGCAAAATATTAAATAACAAGAATTTTTTTTTTTTATTAAAGTTGATAAATAAATTTTACAATAAAGTAACTCCCTGATATTCCCAGACTTGGAAATAAGGTCTATAAAAAAAAATAATAAAAAAAGCCTTTCAATAAGGGGTGTTCGGTTTTGGGTTTTTTGGAGTCGACTCCAATTCTCGACTTTCGAGAGTAGACTATTTGCTTTCCCTTAAAATAGCGCAAGGATTAAACATGCTGTATCATATGGCGCTTTATACACACAGTTTTTCCCTGGTCAGACAAAATCAGCAGTTTAAATCATCTGCAGTCAAAATAAAATAGAAATAAAATATAAAATAAAACGGTCTAGTTTAGATAATTTGCTATCTTGGAGAAAGAAAGATAAAACATTAACTTATTAAAACATTTATTGAAAAGATGTGTAGCAGTTCATTAATAATAAAAAAATGAATTGTTCATTTCTGTATATACTTTAAGGCAATAAACCATCCAACAACAAAGCAGCTAGATTTAAAATTTAATTTAATGGCAAACTAAAAATTAAACCTTAAACACAAGATCACAAGAATTAGTGGTGTGACACATCACAAATCTCATGGTTTGAATCACATTATGGTTTTTCAGTCATGGATGCTTTTTTTTTTTTTTTTTTTTTTTTTAAATCAGCCAAAAAGGGGAGGTGACAAAAGTCATTTGCTTTCCATTTATTACACAAACAGCACTGCAAGACACTTTTGGTTTTAACAAACAGAACTTAGGTGTTATTAATTTTACTTATTTTATTATTATTACAAATAAAATAAAGAAATAATAATTTTTAGTTTTTTCACTAAATGATTCAGTCATTCACTCATAAAACTTGAAGAAAAGAAAAAAAAGTTTCATTGCTAGATGTGTCATTTTTGAAGAATTATTCAGTGGCATATTTTTGATGGCTGGTTGTCGCCACCTATTAGTAAAATAATATAATTGCTGCCTACAGCTTTCATTTTTGAGCATCAAGTTAAATGCTTATGACAGTGATTTTAATCTTTACCATAAACACCAGTGGTTTTATCTAAAATATAAACTGTTATCCCAGTACTTGTGTGTTATTTGACCGTGTGTAACTTCATAACTAACTCAAAAAACTAAAGCCTGAATCTCTTTATTGATTTTTGCATTTTCAGATTTGAATGCAGCGATTTAAAGGATTAATAAACACATGCATCATCATTTATGATTTATGATGCGTGGGTGTTGAGATCCCAATCTTTTAACGATTAATCGTGCAGCTTACAGTGAATGTATTGATGCAGGCTAAACAGGTAATGACAGAAAACACCTTTAATAAACTAAGAATCCCACCACATCCCCAATAACCCACCACAAATTCTTCAGTCATCATTATATTTTACAGGAAAGCCTAAATGCTTTTATACATGTGATTTGAATGACACGAGAGGCGATCTCTCTGCGATCGTTGCCTAATCCACAGGCCATGCGTGTTACGAATCGTGGGTTGTGATTTGTACAAATCACGGAACAACCGATCCGTTACACCCTTAAAGGTAACCATGTGTTTTTTCTTTTAACAATTTAATCAATAAACTGGTTTGACAGTATGAAAATATTCCCAAATGAAGCAAGAAATGACATGGGATCACTTGTCATATACTACCAGCCAAAATGCCTACCTAAACTAGCAAAAATACTATAAATAACTAGCAATGTGCTTACAAAACCGAATTACCAAACGCACAAAAATACAATTGGCAAAAGTCTTATTATTAAAATGCATGCCAAAATAAATATTCTATCGATATTTCACACCCCTGGTTGTATAACATATTTAAAAGCATCTTTTCAACTGGAAACAACTGAATATAGTATTGTAAAAGAGAAACCACAGCTGCCAGTTGTTTATGTAACCTTCCCCCTGGCCCACAGATCCCCATCAAACTCCATCTGTGTGAATTAAGTTGATGGAACACATGTGGATAACTAATATAGACACTCACCATTTGATGTAGAGCGTTAAAGCACAAGAGACCAGATCTTGCTTGGAGAAGCCAGTGTTTTCCTCCAGCTGGACGGGCCACACAGGAACTGTGGAGAAATTCATGTTCAAAAGAAACCAAAAACTTCCACTAAGGCAATGTACAAGCACGCACACACACTTTAATTTAAAAATGCTTTTTTTTCTCTCCATTTTCAACCTTAAACACAAAGATGGCAACAAAATGCATGTTTTTGATTGCTAAAGTAAAACACCATACTCTTTTGGGAGGGGGGGTGTATAAGAGTGCTGGTACCGTAATTGTGCAGCGCTCTGGTGAGCAGCAGGATGGCGCTGGCGAGTCGGGCTGGTCCGGGAACAGTGGCGGGTGAGCAGAGCAGAGACAGCTCACAGATGTAGCTGAAGAGGTGAGCAGTTCGACGCTCCACCGGCAGCAACGACAGCAGCACCTCCCCATAATCCAACACTGTAGGGGTCTGAGGAAAAACATTCACATTAACATCGACTCTCATGGTACAACATGGTACAGGCTTGCGTTTCCACTGCCAAAAGGGTACCAAGTGTAAAAAAAAAAAAAAGAAAGTTTCAGTCGACAACATTCTCGCTTGAGGAAATCTTGCTCAAAGTAAAGCTGTACGGCCGGGTTGTTCACATATAATATGAGAAGCACTTCTAACAAAATAGATGCTTTATCCACATAAATACTAGTGTATAAATGTCCATTACTAAACTTTATATAAACAGAATTTGATTATAACTCTAGATTATTGACAGTTATAAAATCTGCGATTATATAAAATAAATAAATGCAACATATATGAACACACCCAGACCTTTACAGTCTCCGATATGTTATCACTTACAGAAAAACTACACACAGCATACATTTAGGCCTTATTCGCCCAGTGAGTGCAGACCTCTCATCTGTATCTTTAATCTTCAGTAGCACATAACCTCTGTTAGAAATCAATTCAGAGTTTATAATATCCCAAAAGGCGATGATAATAGTTAAATATGGCAGATTGTTCATGCTTTAGGTTGCTGAAAGAGTCATTTGCTCTGTTTTTTCTGTTCGGATGTCAGAAGCACTTTAATAATCACGTGTACGTTATTATCATGAGCTGAAGAAGATGTTATTTCAAATATAGACGCATGATTGCAAGCTCTCTGGAGAAAGTGAAACCGCTCGCACTTTTAGACGGCCTCATAAACAAATACAAGACACGGCAGATTTTTCATTCTCCTTGGTGAATGCGCAAGCATCTGCAGCCATCTTTGAAACGCCTTTTAGGCAGTATGCTCGGGCATTCTGTTTGGATGAGGAAACATCAAATTCTTAAAAAATACTAGCCAAGCTTATGATTCTTTTCATATTATTTTTTCATATTATTATTTCATATTAAGAATAAACAATAATGTAAACAACAGCTGTCTATTTAGTTTCATTTCTAAATGTTCGTATCACACAAAATCTGCAGAAACTCACATCTGGTCCAAGCCTCTCCCCTGGAGAATTGTCATTCTATAGCCATCGTTGATTGGCTACTGTACTAGAAGGTGGGCTTTATCCACCATATAGCCATCGCTGACAGTAGAAAGGGCAATAAAATGTACCGAACTGTACCGTACCACGCAGTGGAGACAGGGCATTAACACTACAAACACCAGCCTAGACCCCGTACTAAACCCTTGTGGTACTCATGTAAACTCAGACAGTTATATTTCAGGGGATTTCTAACATGTATCAGTGTATTGGATCTGTGTATTAGGAAATACTATTCTATAATGTATTATTACTTGCATTAGTTAGGCTAAAATGGCTATTAACTATGTTTTTTTTTAAATAAATAAAAATAATAAATCAATAAAATTTACTTGCAAATAAAAAATGTATTATTATAAAAAAATTAAATACTTAGTAAAAAAGTCAAACTAAAAGTAGCAATAAAAAATATGCATATTAAACATCTAGAAATAAGTAAAAAATACATTAAAATATATATTCTTTTATTTTATAAATAAATAAAAATGTATATTTTGTTTAGAGTTCTACTTTACAATAAGGTTTCATTAGTGAGTATATTTTAAAATACTTAAAATTATAGAACATTTTATTAATTAGTTAAACTTTACCAAAGCGTTAATGAAATCTCAATTGATGCTTGTTAACGTTAGCTGATGCATTGGGAGTTAACATGAACAATTGTATATTCATCAACTAATGACAATAGATTTATTTCAATAAATTAATTGTTTAGGAATTTCAATTATGAATTTCAATTAATTAATTTGTGCAATAAAATACATTTCTATCAGAGACACTTAATTTTGGAGCTGTGCAAAATAATTCATTTGAATACTTAAACATTAAAAAAATTATATTTCAAAAAGAAATACTAATTAAAAATGTATAAAATTACTAGGATTACAAGATAAATACAAATACAGAGTTAACTAATTAAATACAGAGTTTTTTTACATTAAATAAGCTTGCCAATACTGAATGAAGTGCATTTTTAATCAACAGTCTTAATGATTAAATATTTAAATTCTTCAAGTGCATGGGGTCTTACAATGCAAGGATGATCTCTCAGTTTTTGAGCTTTAAAGCTCAGACACAAGGTGAAATTGATACGATCTGGCAGCCTATAATGAGTTTTCTGTGTGTTGGTGTGAAAGGAAACAAGAGGGTGCTTGTGTGTGCTTGTGTGTGCGTGTGTGTGTGTGTGTGTGTGTGTATGTGCGTGTGTATGTGAAACTGACCCGAATCTTTCCGTCCAGCACAGAGATAACCTCGCCCATCATGTGCACCAGGTCTTCATACTGATAGGTATTATCTGTGAGCCAAACCGCCTCACGGATGGTCAGGATCTCCTTGCTGATGAATCTGCCATTAAAATGAGTGAATAAAGTCAAAAGGTTTTCATCAAAAACCAAATTGGTTTTATTCACATAACTGGAGTACCAGAACACACAGCACACAGGTAAAATCACAATTTACAATATATTAATGAAATTGAAATATAATAATGAATGAAACTGTTCATGGTCCATTATAATGAATGGTAATCGTAGCATCGGCTGGAAAACAATGCTTCCCTATTCTGGTCTCAATCATATTTGTGAAATAAGCCTATATTGTCCGCGTGTCTTTCCTCACCGGGTGCAGATGACCATGCAGGCGATGCCCAGGAGCTGCAACTGGGCCTTTGGCACGGAGCGCAGGTGCAGATATCGGTCCACACAGCTAATGGTCACGTGAAGCACCTGACTGGAGAAGTCCTTCGTGGTGGTCACTTCCACCAACCAGTCCACCAGAATATACCTGAAAGAACAGATCAAAGTGGTCAACAAACGAAGCAAAAATAGTTGAGATACAGGATTGGTTAATTAATTAGGACCTTTACAAGATCTAGGCAAATAATTGCTGAAGCTTTCATCGCAGTGGTTGGCAAACATTTTCGACCCGAGGGCCACATCAACTTTTGCAAACCATGTGAAGGGCCACAAGTCAAATCCTTCCGAAAATAACTTATATTTATAGTGGCAGTGTGCATGGAATATGTAATATCGGACAGAAACATGTCACATTACCACAAAGCAGTTTTTTTTTTATTTAAATAGTTTTTTTTAAATAGTTATTATTGAGTCAAATTTATAAATCAAATGAATTTGCACTGCTATTAATATTTACTTATCAATCATCATAAAACAATAATCCCTTATAAAATATAATAATGATAATATAAATAATAATTACAATAATAATAATAATAATAATAACAATATTTTACAGTGGAGGATATAAAGTATATTGTATGATAGAAAAAATCTCATATTAACACATTAAAAATAGTTTTTAAAGTTTACTATTCAGTCAATTTTACAATAACGTAATTAGGGTCCCACTTTATATTAAGTGGCCTTAACTAATATGTACTTACATATGAATTAATAGTTTATTACAATGTACTTATTGTGTAAATACATGTATTTATTGTGTACTTATGCTTGATTAAATACCTGTATGTAATTACATCTGTAAATAACTTCTGTAATTACATTTGTAAATACATTGCTGACCATTCCCTACACCTTAACCCACCCTTAAACCTACCCACACCACCAAACCTTTCCATAACCCAACCCCTATCCCAACTCAAGAGCACCACAAGTGTTCTCAAGTACTTTATGAACACAGTTAGTACATTGTATTTATTTTTTGATGTAAGTACATAATAGTTAAGGACACTTAATATAAAGTGGGACCCTAATTTGCACTGCTTTTAGAATATACAGATCAATCATCATACAACTTGATATAACCACAAATTTTTGACAAAGGAGTTTTTTGGTCCCACTTTATATTAAGTGTCCCTAACTACTATGTACTTACATCAAAAAATAAATACAATGTACTTACTGTGTTTATAATGTATTTGAGAAAACTTGTGGTGCTTTTGAGTTGGGATAGAGGTTGGGTTATGGACAGGTCTGGTGGCATGGGTAATTTAAGGGTAGGTTAAGGTGTAAGGGATGGTCAACAGTGTATTTACAAATGTAATTACAAAAGTTAACTACAGATGTAATTACATACATGTATTTAATCAAGCTTAAGTACACAGTAAATACATGTATTTACACAATTAGTACATTGTAACAAACTATTAACTACTGTGTAAGTACATATTAGTTAAGGCCACTTAATATAAAGTGGGACCAGTTTTTTAAAGTGAATGTATGCATGAAAAATATATACTATGACAAAAATTAACACATTTAACCAGCAATTATTATATCTTTTGAGTCAAATTTAAAATCTTATTTGAGCTTTTATAAATGTGCTCATATCAATCATTATAAAACTATAAGATAAAACGGAAGAAGAATCTTAGTTCAATTCAATTCAATTCAGCTTTATTTGTATAGCACTATTACAATGTAGATTGTGTCAAAGCAGCTTCACATAAATGGTCATAGTAACTGGATCTATTGGACTCTCAGAATCTTAGCCTTTGTTATTCCAAGTCATGTTATTATGAGTGTGTTAATGTGAACAATGAGTCTGAAAATAAAGTTATAGTTATAAAGTTTCTTTAAAAACAGCAATACTTTCTTTGCATATTAGACCTACCACTTTCTGTCTGATATTGGTAAAGTAGTATTTTGGTGTTCATTATTCCTTAAACACGACATTGTCTTATTTTTTTTTTTTGCCTTACTCACTCGTTCATTCAGTGCATTTTAATATCTGAGAGTGTGTTCTAATTCTACTGGTTGCGTTAACTGTACTGCATGCAATACTGCCATCAAATGGCATTCACTTGTACTGCATCATTAATTTACTAATTCTGAAACCAAACCGTTACTCAGAAGCAGCATTTTAAAAATACCATCGTGGGCCGGATGAAAGTGTTCAGCGGGCTGCATATAGCCCGCGGTTGTAGTTTGCCCACCTGTACCACCCCCACCAGCCTGAATCCTTGATACAAGGTAGGATGGATCTATGCTTTTATGGTGCTTCTGTGCTCTAAATTCTGACCCAACCATCTGAATGTCGCAGCAGAAATGGAGACTCATCAGACCAGGCAACGTTTTTCCAATCTTTTATTATTTAATTCTGGTGAGCCTCTGCGAGTTGTACCCTCAGTTTCCTGTTCTTAGCTGACAGTAGTGGCACCCGGTGTGGTATTCTAGCTAATCCGCCTCAAGGTTGGACAAGTTGTGCGTTCAGAGATGCTCTTCTGCAAACCTTTGTTGTAACGAGTGTATATTTGAGTTACCGTTGCCTTTCTATTTGCGCCCACAGAACTGACACTTGCGGTCAACTTAAATATCACGAAAAAATCAAACTCAACAATTTTAGTATTTATAAAGCATTCCTGTATTCAATTGTATTGCTTCTCTCTAGATTTTTTTTTATTCACTTTCGTCAATTGGTGAAGTTTGTTCTTCGCCACTGCTTTGCTTGGTTTGGGACTTGTGGAGCTGCGCATTGATGGACTTGCTCTTCAGTGTTTGGACTTCCAGCAGTAAAATTTAATCCACACTGATCTGAACTTTAACTCTGAAAACTGGACTGACTGTTTCCATTTACTAGAACTTCTATGTGAAGCTGCTTTGACACAATCTACATTGTCAAAGCGCTGGAGAAATAGAGATGAATTGAATAGAATTGCATTATGACTCGGCTTATATTTAGTTAAAATATTTATTTTATTCTAATTTTATACTTCAGCATTTCATCTAATCAGTCTCAACCATGTCTACATGCCTAAATGCATTGAGTTTCTGCCATCTAATCAGTCAGTTTTTTTTGCAGTAAAACTTCATTACCTACTGATTCTTCTACTTTTTCTACTAATTCATTACTGATTTGGGATACCTAAAAACAGTACAAAACAATATAGTTGCATTTGTAAGTCTACTACATTTATCCAGTATTATTGAAGGTTATAATATTAACGATGGTTAATATTATTAAACTGGAAACAGAAAGCTGCTCCTTTATTATATATCTAACAAGAGATGTAATGACACATTTGATACTGGAAAAATTTGGATTCTCCTTAAGAAAAATAAGAAGACAAATTGTATCAAATCTGGCAACCTCTTAGAGTTTTTAAAAACATACATTTTACAGGAATTAGTTCAATTAAAGAGGATTAAACTAATTTATATTGAAACTGAAGGTTGGTATTTTTAATTTAATTTACTTAAAATATTTATCATTATTTTACTTTCTTATATATTTTATCTCTTATTGTTAATTGCCGTGTAAACGTTTGTTTTATGTCAATGTGTTTGAATATTTTAAAAAAATTATAAAGAATATTTAAACATTTTGATAATACGTTATATTAAAAGCATTAGATGTGATTTTGCTGTACCTCTTGGTGGTGATGTCCTGTCCCTGCAGATGTGGCTGGTACCGAAGGGCTGAGGGTCCCGTCTGGAAAAACTGGGACACGAGTTCACTGCAGGCCCGCGGCTCCAGACCCAAAGGGTTAGCAGATCCACACGACTTCACAAACGCCAGCTGGATACCACAGACACGCCAGACAAACACAAAACACATAACAATTGAATGGGTGTTTAATGCTGCGTCATAAATGCAGACATCCATGAAAAAAAAAAAAAAAAAGCATCATTCTCATTCAGAACTCCGATCTCAGCCCGTTTACCCACGTCAGAGTGGCATTCAAGCTGGCACAGCTGCTGATTAATGCGAATCATGTCAACAATGGCACAGAAAACCTTTAGAGGAGATAACAGGAATTGTGACGCAGCTTTTCCAGGGCTTGCACTTTTATTATGAGCAGATTCAGTGCAGGGACATTATTAGAATGGAAATAACAGATGGATGATTGGTGACTTAACTAAAAAAACAAATAAATCATTACAACTTCCATCACATACGTCAATCTCGGATGGAATAAAAAAATAAATAAAGACTGAGAAACTGAATGCAAAACAAACATGTAAACAAATACAGTTCAATAACAATAGTTTTTAAAATTCTGACAAAAAGGTCACAGAAGAAAAACACAAAAAGAGAAAGGTTCATATTAAATTATGTAGACTGCAAAAAATTAATTAAAGTATTTTGATTTAAAAACAATACGTTTGTTAATATAAAGCAAATTTGTAGCCATAAATAAAAGTAAAAAGTTAATAATTAAAAAATAATTGAGTATAGTGTGATTATACCATATTATATAAATATATTCAATATTTTTCAAAAGATTCCGTCGGGGAAAAAAAAGCTAATATTTGCCAAAAAGCACAAGCTAAAAAAAACATGTAATATATATATAAAAATGATATTAATAATAATAATAATAATAAATGTACTTTGCTACAAAAATAGTTTTACCTATTTCAAAACAAATAAATTAATTAATTAAAAACTACTGATTTTAAACTGGTTATTTAAAATGTGTGCGTGTATGTATGTATGTATGTATGTATGTATGTATTTTGCACACCTAGTTTAAAGCACACGCATGCGCAGATTGATGACACTAATAGCAGTGTGCCTGACTGTTGAGCCTAACCCATGTTCTATATAAAAGCATTGGGAGACAACATATTAAAAGGAGTTTTTGTCCTAACCAACACCTGAAATTAAAATTTTAGAAACGGCTTGTATTTCTTGCAGCTGAACAACAGAAAACTGACAATGGTCACCTCGGGTACACCTCATGTGCTTTATTCAGTGTTAAATGCTAATAATGTGAGTTTGAATGCCATTTTACATGACATTTATTGCCATATACTGAAAGCAGCAGCAGATAGTTCACCTCAGATCTTGAAAATAAAATAAACCGTTTGAAATTAAACTTCATAACAGTGACTCGGAGTAAACCAACACATATAAACAGGGTTTGAAATGAACCTTTTGGCTTGGTAGCACTAGTGCTCCTAACTTTTAAAATGTAGTCGCAACAGTCAGTCAATTTTGTCACACCCACCAAGAATTATGTGCACCGTTACTACAAGTTTCAATATTAACAGATTTTTTGAATATGAATATTGAATATGAATATTAACTAACAAACAAACAAAAAAATATATCAGCCCTGCACGCACTGCTTGACATGAATGCAAAGATGTTCACGGTGTTCAATTTTATATATAGCTGCCACTTGCATGGCTGACAGCATTCTGACGATTAAATGGAATCCTCTCACGCTTAAAATGTGTAGATAAGTGACAAACACTGTTACCAAACACAGATTTTACAGTGAATGGCTTTAGGAGTCTCATCCACTCTTCAAAAAGTGCATCATCATTCAGATGTGTCATTATTTGTAACTTTAAGTGGTTTCTAAAAAAGAAATCTGTCAATGTGCTTTTCATTCTCTCATCTTCAGCGCTTTACATTTTCGCGGCGATTGCTCTCCGTCACCTGAAGGCAGAAAGTGGCAGACAACTGATATTAACGAATCCATTCGTGTTGAGTGCTAGAGCAGTACACCAATCAGAAGAGCTTGAAGGCGGGTCAAGCATTGCGGGATTTGTTTACTGAAAATAAAAAAAATTTAATTCCTAGGCACTGCGTTCCACGTCTTAGGTGCAAAGATGCATTCTGCGTGAATGTCTCCTAAATCTGCGCATGCAGCAACTTGATGCACTCGCACAAATGCTTCCAAATATATTTTGAAGTCGCATAGATAAAATTCCAGGCGGATATGTGAACAAAATGGTCGCTATATAAAGCCCGGATCAGCAATTCAGCATCTACATATAATAATCTCAAAGAGGTTTAATATGTATTAATTAGATTATAAACCTTACAATTTTGTTGGAGTGCAGTGAGTGCACTATCCTGTGCTTCTGAATGGCTGCATTTAAATTTCTTTCACGTTTCTTAATAGGGCCGCACGATTCTGGCTAAAATGTGAATCACGATTTTTCCAGCCTTATTTCGGAGGCTGTTACTGTCTACCGGAGGTCGCATTTTCTGTCCCAGACACATACTTTGAGAGCCTTCATGACTGAAAGAACCAAATACTCTGTTTTTCACTAAGGCAGGCTGAAATATAAATTGGCTAAACTGGCATTGTGCGGGTTAAATGGCCAAAACAAAGAGCCGTTCTGGCATGTAAAGCACATGAGATCTCACAGAGTATCTGACTTTAGCATTGCTTTTCAAATAAACAAGAATAATTAAATATCCGCAAACATATTATGGTATTTTATATGCTTTAGAAGAGTCAAAAACTCACAGCACCTTTAAAGAAACAAAAAGCTATACTTCTTTGGCTCATCTAGATTTTATAATATAATAAAAATAACAATAAAACAAATAAATAGCACAGATTTTAACATTTCATTTTCAATACACATGAGATTTCTCCAGTCACCTGAGCTTCCCAGCATCCTCTAGCAGCGTAGTCCCTGAGTGTGCGCATGCACTGCAGATACCTGCCGGGGTCGGCCGTCTGGAGGAGACAAAACAAAAACACATCAGCAAAACAAACAAAACTAGCAAACACATAAGTACTATCATCATCATCATCATCATCACAAAAGCCAGCTCTTACCGATGAGGCACGGCTGATTGCCCACAGCAGGTAGGAGCTCTGCAGACTGCCGCATCTGGAGGACTCCTTCAGCATGAGCTCCGCTTCATCACGCTTCTCCTCATCCTGAGAAACACACACACACACGCTATAACCAACACCTGCTGCTGCACTCATTTACACAAGCAGACGCCATGCAGACCTGATAGCACAACATCAGCAGGTGTCAATAAGCATCTTGGGGATGTGGAAATGAATGGCTTGACCATTTCACACTCCTGATTTAACCCTTAACTGTTGTGTACTGTTCAAATTGACTACCCTTTCATTATATTGGGGACTATTTTTGCCCCATTGACTTCTATTATAACCACATGTCTTGATTGCAAAGCCATGACATTAAATAATCATGCAATCTTGATTGTTGGTGGTTTTCCCTGTTGCAAGAGGTAAAATGTGTGATTTTTACAGTTGATCATCAGTCGCCAGCATTAACCTTTTAGATAGGCCTGTGCAAAAATTATAATGTCATTATAATAGAAGTCAGTAGGGCAAAAACAGCCACCAACATATTAAAAGTGAAGCAAAAGTCCCCAAAACAAAAGCACTTTCCCAAAATATGTGTCAAAATAAGATTTGGCAACATAAATCATTCCGTTTGCTGAGACACAGAATGTAGTGGCCAAATTAAGCCTCAAAATCACTCTAGAGTGGATGAAAACATCTCCAACAGCACGCAAGTGTTAATCAATTCCCTGATTTTGCAGGTCTTTGAAACAATCGTCTCAGGTTGGAAGACCACTGTTTTTAGTGCAAGCAACACTCACGTCAAACAGCTGAAGGACTCGGGCCAGGCAGTACAGTAACGTCCCTTTTCGTCCCTAAAAAAAGCAGAAAACATACAGTTTATGTCAGAATTATTCGCCCCCTGTTTATTTTTTGCCTAATTTCTGTTTAACGGAGAGCAGATTTTTTCAACACATTTCTAAACATAATAGTTTTATTAACTCATTTCTAAAAACTGATTTATTTTATCTTTGCCATGATGACAGTGAATAATATTTGACTAGACATTTTTTAAGACACTTCTATACAGCTTAAAGTGACATTTAAAGGCTTAACTAGGTTCATTTGGTTAACTAGGTAGGTTAGGGGAATTAGGCAAGTTATTGTATAATGATGATTTCTTCTGTAGACTATCGAAACAAAATTAAAAATGTATATATAATTTTGACCTAAAAATGTATTTAAAAAAAAAAAAAAAAAAAAAAGTCAGTGGTCACCACAGCGGAATGAACCACCAACTACTCTGGCATACAACAGATCCCCTTGCAGCCACACAACAGCACCATGCTGAGCAACACCTATACACTCATACTATGGCCAATTTAGTCCATCTAATTACATTTTAAATGTTGTTTAATTATTATTTGACATTTTATATTATAATAAAGTATTCCATAACAATAAGTGTTTAAATAAGTACTGCTTTTTTTTTTGTTCTGTGAAAAAAAATTATGAAAAAAATAACAATTCATACAAATGATTATAAAAAAAAACCACACCTGTATTTTGTTTAATTATTTTAAATACTACTACATGCTAATTAAATGCAATGAAAAGAGTCGTGATCCATAATTAATAATAAATATTTGGATGTTTTTTATGATTTGATTAGAAGAACATTTACTTCCAATATTTAATGTGCATTAAGATTCTTCCTTTAAAAGGAGGTCATTTTGATAAATATGCAAAATGACCATGCAATTAGGTACAATATTATATAGTATTTTTTGTTATATTGCTAAGAATAAAATAAATTAATTGTCCTTCACATTACACCCAATTTAACTTAAATAGTATGCCAATATAGTTTTAATAATTAATAAAATTTTAATTAAGCCTAAATGAGATGAAAATTGTGGTCATTTACTCCTTTTTACTGATTTTCCCTCATCTGTTGAACACAAAAGATGATATTTTGAAAAGTGCTGCAAGCCTATAACTATTAGGCAAGGGTCGGTATAAGATTCTGACGGTATGATAACCTTGGATAAAAATATCACGGTTTCACTGCATCACGCTATTGTGATTACTGCTCTAAAATATATTCTTTTTAAATGTCTGGGTAAAAAACAAAAACTTCTCCCCCCTTTAAAAACAATATATATATATATATATATATATATATATATATATATATATATATATATATATATATATATATATATTTATTTATTTTTAAGAATTTATAATAGTTTGGAGCAGTAAACATGTCAGGCTGAATAATTCAAATGAATCATAGACTTCTGCTGTCTTCATTTGTTTTAAACACACAGATTTCTTTACAATTTAAAATGGAATCTTTGGATATTTTTGCTAATAATACTGTTGTCCTAAAAAAAACTAAACAAAAAAAAAAGTCAATAAAAAAAAAATCTTACATATACCTTAGAAACGGTATTACATAAAATTTTGGCGGTTTTAAAACCTAACTTTTCCAAACCGGGGTATACCTTGAAAACAGCTATCGTCCCATGCCTAATAACCATTGACTTCCAATTCAATTCGTTTTTCCTAGTATGGATGTCAATAGCTATAGGTTTTCAGCTTTCTTCACAATATCTTCTTTCGTGTTCAACAGAAAAAAAAGAAACTCAAAGGTTTGAAACACTTGAAAGAGAGTATATACATTTTTGTAAACTATCCCATTCAATTTTCAATAAATCCTGTTCAGTATGGTTACCATTTCGAAACGTGGTCTAAAATCAGTATATTAAATACGCTGCATAGTTTATGAATTAAAAAAAACCCTGCATGCATAGTGTGTCTGGAGGGGCTGATCTGCAGAAGCAAGTGAATGCTGGGATATGGAGGAGTTTCTCACCGGGCTGGTCTGACACTCTGCCTGGAGTCGATCAAACACTACAGCCTTGCAGCAGCTGCCGGACACGGACCAGGGCGGCCGGATGAACAGCCAGATGAAGGGCTCTGCCTGCGGGGACCTGAGGCTCTCGGACAGGCTCAGATACCGAGATGCCATTCGGCCACACAGATCAGCACGACCCTCCTCGCTGAGTAATGCTGCAGCACATTCACACATCCTCATCAATCAGCTTTCATCAACATAATTCAATCAAGTTAATCAATCAAAAACACGCTGAAAGTGAGTATGGAAACGTACGTCCTTCATTGTACAAATATGCAATTCCTAGTTTCACAGCAGCTTCAAAGTTCCCTTTCTCCGCAGCCCTGGATGAGCAGGAATTTAATGAGAAAAACACATTCAAATAATAACAAAAGCAACAAGACTAAGCCATTCTGCAAGTCATTAATGTGGAAATATGTGCATCAAACAGACCCTTGCATGCTTTGGAAAGCAGGGTTTAGGCACAACTACTAAAACAGTTCCCCCATGCTGACGTAAAACTAGAAAAATGATGGAATATCAAGCGTTTCTGAGCCTGAAAATTATAAGAAAAGCCATTTCTATTGCTATCTAGGGTTTCTGCAGGTTGCACAAAGTTAGATTTAAGACCTTTTAAAGACCATTATGAATGAATTTTTAGACTCATACAGGCCTAAATGCTAAGGATGCTTTTTAAATATCCCAATTAGAAGAGATTTTCACTTGAACAAATCAAAACATTAGTAACATGTAAAACATTTAATAATACAATAATAATTTTGTTGGAATATTTTTTAAATTAATTTTCAAGTATATACATTCACAAACCCTATAACCCTTACCAAGAATAGAACAAAACATAGCTGTCCATTACTTCAGGCTACAATAATAATAATTTAATAATAAAAAATATATATATATAGGTCAGGTCAGTATCCTCATTAGTAAATAGAGCAGTTTTAAGCAATTGTTAATGTAAAGAAAGTAATTAAATGCTGTTTATAATAAAAAGATAAAAGTTTTATTGAGATCGGGATTGTTGGTGATTGTATGGGCATTAATGGCCAGATTGAGCAGCTATACACAAACAAAGGAAAATTAAGTCCCTTAAAAAAGACTTAAGACCTACAACACATTTCTTTAAGACCTAAAATTTCGTTTGAGTTTTAAAGGGCCATGAAACCCCCTCGTTTCAGCAGGGTGTTTTCACACCTCTTCTTTGGAAAAAGTCAGAAAAGTGGGGGTGTCCAGCTCTGTTTAGGGGGGAGTGTCGGAGGAACTAAAGTGGGAGGGTGTGGGAGTGTCTATTTGGGCACGCGCGAGTTTCAGTCAAAATACACAGGAGAAAGGGATGGTGTTTAACCTACATGGACATCTGTAGTCGAATTATTTGCCAAATTATTAAATGTTGGACTTTAACTGCAGTTTGGCTCTTTCATTCAGGGAATTCATTCATGCCCCTCGCGACAAATGAGATATTTGATTCGAAGATCTGCTCTAACCGTGTATTTTTCATGCAATGTTTGATACCGCACGGCGAATGAGAGAAAAAAAACTCAGCATTTCCCGGAAACTTAGATGCACACGGCAGGTAGCGTCCGAAAGCCGCGTGTGTTATTCCGGTCACTAAATGCGGTGCTAACATGTTTGCACTCAATGCAATAGTTAACTTAATTCGATACGAACAAACTGAATATACAAAGAGCACTGGTCGCTCACTTACCAAATCTGTAGAGACAGAACAATCACCAGCAACTAGAGCCGCGTCTTTATGAAGAGAAGACTACATCCGTAATCCGGATTTCAGCGTTTGCAGATGAGAACAGCTCTCAGGTAAACAATAATCCCCCTTAGACACGTAAATTATTGTTGTCGAGCGTCGCGTATTCTGTAATCCACACGTGATCCAGATGAGCTCTCACAGAGAGAAAATGAAAACGAAACTTAATGGCAGCAAACTGTAAAAGCAACACTTCACGCTTGTTTTGCCAACACAACGTGGCGTCTCTGTGGTGTAAAGACGGTGACACTAATGAATATTAATGAAGTTGCACAATAGAGCGCGCTGATTGGTTTGAACCAAGTCTTACTCATGCATTAATGCATCACACTGTAAGACGTAATAAGACACACTCTGGCACAGACGCCCAGTCTGCACGCTGGAATACACGCTATTATGTCATGACCGTGACGCAGCTTCAAAAATTTGTTTCAAACAGGAAGTACGAATTTGCTTGAAATAACGCAAAAACAACCAATTTACACTTTTTAGTGAAATATAGGTGTCCTAATAGTGTTCTTAGCAGTGTGGGACACATATACGACTGTCAACAGCTCAAAAAATGTGTTTTGGTGTTTCGTTTCGTTCTTAAAGACATTAAGACTTTAAGATCCTGCGGACACACTGAGATATAAACTATCATTTAAAGAAACAAAAATTCATTGCTATTTCATGACTTGAAAACTAAATAAATAAAAATATATATTTTTTTCTTCTCTGACTTTTAATGTCTAAAATAGGCTTTTTACAATTCCATTTTTCAGAAACTCCATGACCCATAGCAGGGTTGTCGTGATACCATTAATTCAACACTGTATAGCGATATTGTAATTCATAACTCAAATCTATGAAATAAAGAAAATTGTCAGAAATACTATATTTTAGATGTAAATATAGGCTTATTGAATTGAATTCATAAATCCCTTATTATTGAAAAAAGTATTTGTACTGGCAGTGCCCAAACTTTTTCTAATAAAGAGCCAAGAACCAACTTAATTGAGGGCCGTGAGCCAATGGTAAACATATCAAACTGTATTACAAAGTTGCCATGGTTAATCTCCTGAATGATTTTAAAATAATTCAAAAACATTACTTAAATCATATTAACTAACTACTCTTTATATATTTAATTTACAAGTTTAATGTCAAGCTGCGCCTGCCTTTTCCTTGATTTACTCACCGATGACTTCTGAATTGTGCTCTATCCATTGACCAACAGTATGTTCATTAAAAAATCTAATTAATTCACAACATTTAATTAAAATATTTAATGCAAATATGCTTTTTTGTAGCTTAACAATAAATCAAACAAATGAAAGGTTGCATTAAAATTAGAAATGACAATGTGTATTAAAGGCCTTACCCCCAACACTTTGCCTCCCTTCACACAGGGGATGAAGGCCAAATCAAAGGTTATCATAGGCCAACTTTGGCATCTCTGTTCTAAACTGTTTCTAATATGTAACCAAGCAGACTGCGATGTTTTAGGTTGGAATGTTGCTCACCAGTAAATGCAGTTGTCATATGATATTTGTTTTGTACATTATTAAAAACATGACTAATAAACGACTTCACTTAGACCCTGTAATCGGTGATCAGTATATGGCTTAAAGAGATCGGTAATCGGCCCCAAAAATCCTGATCGGAGCACCTCTAGTATTTTTCCCGCAAAATTAGCTCATATGAAGTGGTTATAATTTTTTCAATGTTTTCTGTTGCTCTTTAGGGTTCCTTATCTATAGTTTTTTTTAGGTAACAATCAGGTAAGGTCTTATCAGAATCCAAAGCAATTCAAAATGTTACTTTGGGAGTCACATTTGGGAGTTTTTTTTTTTTAAAGAGATTGTTGTGGTTGTTGTAGCTACTAAATCATATGAACAGAACCAGAAATGAACTCATTCAGATGTGCGTTCGAACTGAAACGTCAGAAAATGTGCAATAAGCTATTGTAAAAGAAGTGAATTCTACACAGACTTGCAATCTTAAGGGCTCCACAGACTATTCAAATAAAATGGTCTGTTGTTGCACAAACCTATGAGCATTTTAGTGAATTTTCCCACATGCAACATTATGTATTGTAGATAGACCGTTAATGACGATACTACCGTTTACAAACTAGTTTCACAGCCAGTATTTGAGCCATAGTATCACGATAGTACCATAGTACCAGTAAACGTGCAATCTTACCCCATAGGAACCCTGCATAATACACTTTAATACATTAGCTAATGCTTGATTAGAATATTCATGTCCACATCAGCAATTTATGGCTATTTTATAGCATAATCAAAATGGATTAAACATATTACAGAATAAAAACAAGTTCATATTCAATAAGAGATGATAAAAAAAATCTAACTTAATTTCTTCATCTTTCATTAAAGGCATAGTTCACCCAAAAAACTGAACGTTTCCTCACTTTTTAACTCTCCCTCAAGCGGTTCAAAACATTTATGACTGTCTTTCTTCTGTTGAACACAAAATAAGATATTTTGAAGAATGCTGGAAACCTGTATTGGTATTTCTACAATGCGAGTCAAAGGTTGCAGGTTTCCAACACTCTTCAAAATAGCTTCTTTTGTGTTCAACAGAAGAAAGTCCAACAAGTTTAAAACAATTGCAGTGTGAGCAAACTTCATTTTGGGGTGAACTATCCCTTGTTTTGATGCTTGAAGACCCCTATATATACCCATCTTTCCCCCAGCCTCAAAAACACATACCTCTCAAAGAGCCAAACGGTATCAGGAGCCGGCCAGCGGTCTTTGAAACTCACTCGTGCCCAGATACTCGCGTTAGTATCGATAATGTCACAAAGATGAGAATGAACCTGTGGGGGTCACATGAGACTCAACACTATGAAAACTTGTAAATGAGTGCAAATGAGGTTGGATGCTTGTTTAGTGGCTGGACGTACAGCTCTGACGGAGAGGAGATCCTCGGCAGAGAGACACTGGAGGACGAACACCAGAAGCTCTTCAGGCAGGGAAAGCAGCGAGACGGCAGATGCTCGCTTTCGCACCCGCTTCCGCACAGGGAGAGAAAAACATTTTGCACATCGACAGTGGAGCGCTAGAGAACCAGAAAGGAGAAATTTAATGACATAAGCTCATTGATTTCCCTGTCTCATATTCTTAGACACAAACACAAAAAAATCATTAATTAGCCAAAGATTTGTAAGCATTATTATTATTAAAAGACCTAAAAGAAATTCACTCATTTATTTTCATCTTAAACTTTTTTTTAAAAAGTCACATCAGTAACTTATGGCTATTTCACGGCAAGATCAATATACATAAACACATTACATAAGATCAAACTAAATTTCAATACGAGACGATACACAAATATATGAATTGAAAAAAAAATTTGTTCACAAAAACTATTTTTAAATTTGTATATTAAACTGTATATTAAAAGATTGATATTTCAATTTAATATTTGATCATTAACTTAGGGTGGCAAGGTGACTTAGTGGTTAGAACTGTCGGCAAGAAGGTTGCTGGTTTAAGTGCCGACTTGGTCAGTTGGCATTTCTGTGTGGTTTGCATGTTCTCCCTGTGTTGGCGAGGGTTTCCTCCGGGTGCTACATTAACATTTATGAAGTAAACTTTAACACATATTTTATTAATATAATACAAATTAAATAAGGCATATTAAAGTTTATAATCAACAAACTTCTGCAAAGCGACAGCCACAACTGTATGACAGTGGAGATGCCGAAAGGAGAAATATAATGACATTAGCTGACAGGTTTCCTTGTTGCTGCATCTTTGATATATAAATGCAGGAAAACAAGTCATCAAATCCTTATTCAGCATCATTATTATTATTATTATTTTAAGGACTAAAAGAAATTCCCTAATGTGTTTTGATATTTGCCATATTGTACTGAAATTTGAAATAACTAGCCATTCTGAGATTATTGTTATTATTATTATTATTAGATGTAATTTATATCAGTTTGAGTATAAACTCTTTTAAATTAGCTAAAAACACAAAAAGAAAACAGATTAATACAATAACCATGATTATATTAGCTCTTCAATGGCAAAACTGACATGTTAGCATCCACTGGGTAGTTTTCCCTCCTTGTTGGTAAACCAATCAAGGGATAGAAAGTAACTGACGAACTTTAACAGATACTACATTGATATTTATGAAGTAAACCTCAATGCATTATTCATTAATAGAACACTTAATTTAAATAAAGCAAATTAAGTTTATTTTAACGAAACTCTGCTTAACGACTCAGCAATAACCCTGCGACAGTGGAGTGCAAGAGATGGCGAAAGGAGAAATTTAATGACATTAGCTCATAGTTTCCTTGTTGCATGCTCTTTAATATATAAACTCATTATAAATATTATTATTAAAAGACCGAAAAGAAATTCCCTAATGTGTTGATATTTGCCATATTGTACTGAATAATGAATTAACTAGACAATCTGAGATTACTGTTAGTAGAAGTAGCAGTATTAATAACTGGGTCATGTTTTATTTCATAATAGTTCTTTAAATAATAGTTTTTTTTCTGCTAATCTGCTTTACATTAACCACTTTACTAACTAGATATCAAAATGTGCAGTTAAATGCAAAAAAAGTCATCTTTTTGGTTAAGCACTGATAAAATAAAAGTATTTTTCATGTTTTGTGTTGAATTAATGCATTTTGTTTAGCATTTAGACACTATTGGATTGTATTTCTGTTATTCATGTGACGATTTTTATTACATGTAATCAAAAATCAAGTATTTTCTGTACATATAATCCATGGTTTTGTGTGTGTGGTAAAAACTATTTAAGCTTGAATATTTACCATGGCATAAACATAGCAATACTATGGTGACAAAATATTAATTTCATATTATAATACAAATATTTGTAGTATTAATAAAACACAAATATTTCTCTCACAAAATAGTATTTTCATCCAATACCTAGGCACTTTAAACATTAAGATGGTACATTCCAAACATGGTATTACCATGGTACACTAGAAAGATGCAGCATTGCGAAATATAGAACACGTTAGACATAATTGATATTGGTTTTCGAGTATAAATTCATTTAAAGGAGTTTTAAAGCAGTAAAAACACAAAAAGAAAACAGATTAACCTAATAACCCTGATTATATTAGCTCTTAAACAGCAGAACTGACATGTTAGCATCCACTGGGCAGTTTTCCCTCCTTATTGGTAAACCAATCATGGGATAGAAAGTAACTGACCGAACTTTACCAGATACTACATTGATATTTATGAAGTAATCTTCAACGCATATTTCATTAATATAACACTTCATTTAAATAAAGCAAATTAAGTTTATATCAACGAAAATAACGACCCAGCAACAACCCTAACGTTAAGTCTCGACTAGTTTATAATTTTACTCACCAACCTTTAACCTACATTAGCGGTTATGATAAAATATAAACAAAGATGCTTCTCAATGTTTATAAAATATGAACTTACGAAGTTATAAGCATTTGTTGACAGGAAATGCATCATTTAACAAAATTAGTCACTTACCGCCCGCTTTCATTTCAAGGAGGGATCAGGGAAAGTCAGCTTACAGCAATGATGCTTCACAGTCAACTGAAAATGAGACTTAGACTCTTGATTAATATAATCAGTCTTGCTGATTAACCTAAGTTACTAAATTCCTGTTAGCTACAGGCGTTGGACTGTTTAAAACACAACTCTCCTCTGCCTCAACCATGCAACTTCCATCAAACCCCTCCCCCCGGCGCTTAGCCACGCCTGCGCGGACAGTTTAAACATCAACTCTTAGCGCTTATTGGTCATTATACGACTACGCCCATTGAGGCTGATACCGCGTTCTGATTGGCCTTCGTGTAAACCTCAACGCGGCATTGGTCAGTGATACTAAACGGACAAAAAGGCGTCAGTTTATTGGCTGAAAAGATGCTTTTTCGAATTACGCGCTTACAGCCCTGCGAAACTGGATTGGCTAGTGTTTGCGCTCAGTGAATTCTGGGAGATGTAGGATCTCATTACACATGCAGTATCACATTGGCTAATGTATTCAGAGGAATTCAAGTTGTGTATTTGAACTAAATGAGTTGTTAGTCGAAGAATTTGGTCACGATCAGCACAAACAAGCTAATAATGTAGGACTAATTTAAACAAACTTAATTCTGGTGTACTATGAAACTTACAGCATTAACTGTTAGATTTAAACACGGATGCACTTATTAAATAGCCTGATAAGGAGTGTTGGGGAGGTTACTTTGGAAATGTAATAGATTCTAGATTACAATTACCCTATTTAAAATAAAATAAGTAGCGTACCTTTTCAATTACTTGTTAGTAAAGTAACTAATTACATCTGACATATTTTTGATTACTTTTAAATTTCTAATGGATATTTTTTCCGCTAAATCATTTCCAAGCTTTTTTTTTACCAAGCAGGTGTGACCTTACTGTAGCTCTGTTTACGGTTAGAGCTTCAAAATCTTTCATCACTTGAATAAAGATTATATTAAGATTTTAATATTATTTTATCATTATATTTTAAAGTACAGCCGTCACAAAACCAGCCCTTATAAGAAAAAAAAGAGTTTACTGTTGTTACTAAATAAAATATTTTGTTAGTTGTGCAGGGTGATTTTTGTGGCCTTTGCAATACAAAAAAAGTTTTTAACTTAAAATTATTTTTCCTTTTTTTTAAATGTCTTTATTATTATAATTATTATTTTTAAAGTCAGGTTTTTAGGTATTTTCAGGTTAAGGTATTTTAATACGTCAAAAATAATTAAATGAAAATAGTAATGTTGATTTGGCAGCTGCATGAAATCAAGTAACCTTCCTTTAATTTTGTATCATGTTATTTCAAGCAACAAAAATGTTTTTAATGTTTCATATTAGTTAAAATAATACTTGATTTGTCATATATATATATATATATATATATATATATATATATATA